GGATGCCAGCCTATCGTTATCCTAGCAGAAATGCATGACTGCATTATGGGTAATTCTGGTGCCGAAAGTCATGCATCATAAAGTTGTGCCTCCTGCATTGTGATTGGTCTGGCCAGATCTGGCTCGAGTCAACAACTGTTTACGAGACTGAATTAAGCTTCGTGTAATTCAGTCCAGTTGCCCAGCCTATAAAGGTACTACTGATGTTTTTCAGGGAGTACAGTTTGCAGCTTTCTCATAATTAGCCAAACAATCAATTGGTGTGGACATATATATCCTAGAGATCAATATCCACTATTTCCCATAAATATATACATCCTATAGAACATAATACATTTTTTGCTAAAATGTTTCCCTTTATTAAACAAAACAAAGCAATAAGTTTCTTCCATAGAAATTTTTCAAAAGTTATTTCTTTTATACAGAAACTCACAACATTTGTGGCAGGTTTTTGTAAGCTGGACAAGAGCAAAAAAAAAACCCAGCTCTTTGGGTTGTGAAGGTTGCAGACCCCTGATCCAGACCTTTTATTAGTAGAAGGGGCTGACATTTGTGGAGGATCCTGGTAAAAACAGGATAATCCTAGTTGGGAAGTAAAACAAAATATACTTTCTGGCTTATTTTTGCACAGCCATGTTGTTTAAGGCCCGTCCAATTTAGCCAGTGAGTGCAAAAATAAAAAAACAAAGTCAAAAACATGTTCCTTGACATTGAAGATTAACATCCACCCAACATTAGATTAATTACATCAATTGTCTGTCCTAAGTCGGATTTAATTTTGATTAAAAAAAAACAAACAAACACTGAAACACCAGTAAACATGGCGAGTTCAGCAGCATTATTTGCAGACTTTTAACCCATGAACACCACCCTCTTCTCACCTGCTGAACGCTGCATCCTTGGAGCTGATGATGGGGTTAGGCCTCGGGTTGACAGCCAGGTCTGGATGACCCAGAGACTCTATCCTCAGTGATGCTGCTCTGTTTTCCTCAGAAAGACGCCTATCGACTTCCACCAGGTGACTCTGACAGGACTTCCACCTTCTCAGCTCCATCTCATGAGCCAGGAGGAGCAAGTCAAAGGACGCTTTCTGCCGAAGTAAGTAATCCCGTACCTACGCGGTGAGATTGATGCAGGATTATTAAATGTACATTTCCAGTGTCACACTTATTAAAGAACCAATGTATCATTTCTACAAAATAAAGGTTGTTTTGTTTGTTTTTTTATTCATGAGAGCTACGACAGGACTTTATAGAGTCTTGTAAATATATTCACAACACAGTCCCCTTCATGCTTATACCCCTAAATAAAAAAGTCAAATTAGCTTCTTCCATAAAGAAAAATAGTTATCAGAGCCCATCTTTGTGCAATTCTAACATTTTATGGTGTTTTTAACAAGCAGCACCATGATAAGTTGAAAACATAAAAATTGCACAAGCTTCATCTCTCCACAGCATCCCATGTAGCCCCGTTCAAACCCAACAGAAAATAATTTTGGCACAAAGCAGAAAGGATAGTATAAATTAAGGTTGGGCGATATGGGAGTGCAGGTGGCGCAGTGGTTAGTGAGCACCATCCATGTACGGAGGCCTTAGTCCTTGACACGGCCGACCCGGGTTTGAATCCAACCTGTGGTCCTTTGCCGCATGTCTCCCCCCCCTCCCTTATACCCCCTTTTCTGTCAGCATACTGTCGAAAAAACGAGCCTCTAGTTACTCAAAAAAAAAACAGGTTGGGCGATATGTAAAAAATTTCCAACCGATATTTTTCAATCCAACAAATGGTGGACAAAGACAAGCTCCCCTTCAGAGTGCTTCTTCTGATCAAATTATTAACCACCTGCATGCACTGCTAAAACACAATAAGATAAACATCCTTGATTTATTGTCAATAATGTGTTTGATTCCTCCTGTGGGAATAGTTTCCTCCTTTCCGGTTCTTCTGACTATATTATATGAAATTACAGTTTCTTTATAATTATAGAGACTGACATAAGAGCAGTATATTTATTGCACTAATGGCCTTGGGTTGAGCATTTATAAAGCCACTCACCTGGTCCTGCCTTGAGGTGTAGTAGTTTTGTCTGGTGAGCTGCAGGGCTAGGTCTCCCCGGACTACAGGAACATTAAGCAGCCTGGCCGACTCTCTGAGAGCAGAAGGTACTGGTCCATGAAGCAGAGCTTCCAGCTCAGCCTCGACAGCTTGCAGCTCCTTCCTAGTGACAGCTTCGCGTACAGGCAGTGAAGATGAGGTGGAAATGCTCTATCCGGGCGACATAACAGATACAAGAGTTTGTTTTAGTGGGGTGGTCAAGATAAACAAAGCTTAAGTATGGATTTGGTCACAGCATATGGATTTACTTGTTCTACCTTAGTCTGCCGGGCCTTTTCTGAGAGCCAGTCTAATCCGGCCTTGACTGCCTTCTCTTCTGCCGTAGCCTGCATCAGCTGGTGCTGAGCCACGATGTGCGACCATTGAAGTCGGGCCATTTCTGCCCTCCTGTGCTCAACCGTTCCATCTTTACAGTCACTACCCATGTCTTCTTCATCCTGATAGGAGCTGAGGTCGAGGACCTGGAGGCGCTCAGAGCAAGAGGTCTCGATGGTGATGTCAGAAATGCCATGAAAGAAATGCTTCTGAGTGAGGGCAGCAAGTGTTTTCGTGTTGAGCTCCTCTTGATGCAGGTATGGATCCAAAGACAGCTGAGAGAGCAGGACTGTGGGTTTTTGGGAAACAAATGGCTTTGACTGATCTGGTTTTTGTTGAACTTCTGACTGAGGAAGGTAAGATCCAAGCCTGCTGACCTCATCCATTAGGCTTTGTAACACGGAGTTGGTGTCGGCATTCTCTCCTCCAACCAATGCGATGGCTTCTTTAAGCCTGCAGGCAGAACGCTCCAGCTCAGTGCCGAGCTGCAGGTCAACATCTGCATGGGACGTGGCTGCTACCTGCAGTTTGTTATAGCGCCGCTGCTTTAACTCCTTCTCCTTACGCAGTGCTTGGAGTTCTTCCTCCAGCTCTGTTATGGTCAAATCCCCTTCTGTCGCAAACACAAAGGATGAGGAAAGTTGACCCAAGAGGTTAGAACTGCTGCCATCCGAAGGCCCTACAGTTTTGAGAACCTCCGCCAGGGACGTTTCATCCAGAATTGGTTTCCCGGACTTCTGTAGCTCCTGAAAACCAGCGGCCTCCTCTGTGGTAAGAACGTTGCTTTGGTTGAGGGTGCGGCAGACAAAGCGCAAGAAATGAAGGTTCTCCGGGGCGCAGTCAAACAGCCAATCGAACTCCGAAGCCTTAAGCGAAGCTGCGCCGGGATAACCCAGACGGCACAGAGCCTCCACGAACTGGGCACCGTCTAACATGTTTAACCCACTGTGCTGCTCGGTCATCCAGCAGCACAATGCATAACAAGAATAATGACAAAAATAGTCAGAAACATGTGATATTGTGAATTCAGATTAAGTACTTGCTATATCCATGCAGATGTTACTAATCAATGGTTATTTTGAGCTTTTAGTGTATACTTTGGCCAATCCCAGTCAGGCTTATTCAGATTTATTCATATCAGATCAATTTATCATTAGTAGATGGCATGCTAAATGTTTAGACTCTTTCCACTGCAGAATAATGGCTAGTAGAGCTTAATCAAGCCACCAAAAAAATATAAACACAGTTTATAATAAATTAAATATTAATAAATAGAAATTACATTGGGTCATTCGAAATTGATATGGTTTTTCTTGTCAAAAAAGTCAATTTGATCCAACAATAATTGAAATTTATTGATGTCATACTGGAGAAATGTACCTCTGCATTTAACCCATCTCATTGGGGAGCAGTGGGCTGCCACTGTGGGGCGTCCAGGGAGCAATGTCGAGTTAAGGGTCTTGCTCAGGGACCCATAGTGGAGGATGTGGGGATCAAATCAGGATCTAACCACTTGGCTAACAATCCCCTTCACTCCCCCTCCCTTTTATGAGAAAAACATGTCATAAAGCCACTACTTAGTTGTTAAACAAATAATTTAATGTAAGCCAAAGAAACGTACTAACGGAGATGGGTGCTTAGTTAACATGTATCAAAGCGATGGGTCTACATGTTTTTAATCATCGTCCATTTAACGCAAAAAACGTTCCAGTCCTGCTGTACACATGACGCTAGCAGAGGTGTCAAAGCGTACATATCTTCTCCTAGAATTCAAATTATAAATTAGCAACATAAAAATTGAAATAAATATTCTTCTGAAAAGTAGGAAGGAGTTAACCAGCAAGCTATCGTAACTACCTTGCTAGCTACGAATAACGGTTACGGTAGAGTGTTAGCGGTCTGACTGCTAGCTTAAAAAAATATTCAGGAGTTGAATCTTTTTTTAAGTTTTATGGCGGAACTCAATACTTACAGCTCGATTCAAAACCAATGAACTTCATCCGGAAAAAGGTTTGACCGATTAGCTTCCCCCCCTCGCGCCAACTTTCCAAAATGCGTTGGGAACGTCCTACGTCACACGTAAGCGGCGGACCAACTTATTCAACCAATCATAATTTAGGAGAAAAAAAGGAAAGCTTGCAGGTCCCGCCCACTGCTCCAAATAAATAAATACAGCTCCTGATGTGACGGCAGTCAATCTCTGCTTATATTGAAGCTTCTTTACAACTCATACATCTGGTAAGTCGTTTAAACACAAAACTACATATTTAAAGCCTGTTACTCATGCTTTTTTTTTTTATTTAAGCTGTTTAAAAGCTGTATAAACTATCTTGCATTGCATTAAGATTGACCTATAAAAGGTGATTCAAAATCAATGCTTTGACTCAGAAAATGTAAAATAAAGGAATATGTTTTATATGATTTTTTACAATAAATTTTACTCAGTTTTTCTTCTGTTGTTTGCAAATGATTTATTGACTTGTTAATTTTTAACCAGGTGACATAAATGTCTGCATTGATGATCCTGCCTGTTTTATTCATCATCTGGCGGCTCTTTCTCTCTAGCAGTCACCATGGTTCAGTCTAAGTCATGGATTCTGGCCAAACACTTTGATGGCTTCCCAAAAGACAGCGACTTCAAGCTCAAGGTGGAGGAGCTGCCAGAGCCTAAAGATGGAGGCAAGGATAGATCCCTCAGTCTCTCTCTACTTGGTTGCAGAAGGGCTACATCTGTTTGTTTCTAAATGTATGTATTATTTTAAAAGTGTGATCCACCTTGGTTTTCTTACAGAGGTGCTTTTGGAAGCAGTTTTCCTAAGTGTGGATCCATACATGAGGCAGGTGTAAAGCATGAATGCAAATTTGAAAAAAAACATGATCATTCTTAACCAAATCATCTCTGAATGCTTTATTGATCATGCATTATTTGTATTTTTTTACTCAGGCCTTTCAGCAAACTATACATGAAGGAAGGGGATGTAATGATCGGTACTCAAGTGGCAAAGTAAGGAAACATTGATAAGAAACAGAAAAAAGAATCTTAAATTTATACCACGCGATGAAGTGGACATTTCATACATGATTCCCATTAAAAAAAAAAAAACATATATAGCCTCCAATCTAGTATACACATATTTTATTAACCTCAGGAAATGACCACTATTATCATCCAATAAGTGATTTGCTGTTTAGCAAATTAATATTTCTGTCTTAAAAATATTTTTATCCGTAATCCCCCTGTCTTTAATGGCTGTTTGAAACTTTCCACTCGTAGTGAAAGTTTTATCAGCAGATTAAGAAGGAGCCAGTCTTAGTGGAAGCCTTTGTTTACAAGCCGTTTAGTGTAGTAGCTAGATTTATGCAATAGAAGATTGCCTCATAGAAAGGAAACAACCTTGCTGCATGCTGCAGGGTTAGTCCAATAGATAGAGATGTATTCATCCATCCTAAACAAAAATGACCTAAACAAAAATATTATTATTTTTTATTTCAAGAAGACATTTCTATGACATTTCATTTAGTATCTAAATTTACTTTATACACAAACACACACACACACACACATATATACAAAGTTTGCTAGTTAGATTTAATAGTGCTAGAGATCTGGATAACATATTCTCAGCTTTCAATGAATAGATTTAAAAAGATGGCCCCACCTCTGTCTGACAGTGTTGTATTTATAATTTGCCTTTTAGTTTATCTCTACCCGGCCTTAAATCTGTTAAACAATAACTACTCACTCTGAAGAGCATATCTGACAATCTGATCCATCTGTCATAAGACAATATTGACCTTTTATACCGGCGTTGATTAGATCAGCACTTAGTAGTTGCTCTCTTCCACTTTGGAAATGCATATTTCATTTCAGTTCATTTATAAAGCACCATTTCACAACACATGTCATCTCAACTGTACGAGAGCAATTCGACCAGATCATACAGTCAAACTGATTCAAAGTTTTCTATCTAAGGAAAACCAACTGATTGCATTGAGTCATTGACTGGAAGGAAATCCCTCACTTCTCAGTTTGTTATGGTTCCTTTGTTACAGCCGTGATATTAAAACGTGTGTTCCTCCCTGTGAAAAAGCCAAGTGTGACCACAAGGATGCCGTGATAAAGTATTTAAAAACATATAAGTTGGACATTTCAACCTTAATAACAATTCTGTAATGAAAGGCAAACATTACATAACTAAAGAGTGCAGTAAACATGCATATATTTCAACTTAATATGCAGCTTGTTGAATCACCTTCTTGTTGAATTCCAGCTTTCAGTCTTCTCTGAACGCCTCCCACCCTGACTCAGCAATATTTGATCTTTTTTTACTGCTCTGTGTAGATGCAGTTATGACTAACATTGATTAACACCAAAAAACGTCTAAACTGCATTACATTGTTGATTTTAATTGTTCTGGTTACTGCTTATTAACTTTTTACTATTGATTGGATAACGAGTATTTTAGAGTCTGTCAAATTGCCATATTTAAAATGTGCATTGAGTTATGTTACAATAGATGGAAGCTTCCTAGAAAAATGGCTTCTGTTTAAGTATGATTGCTTGTTTTTTTTCATAGGGTGGTCCAAAGTAAAAACTCAGCATTTCCTGTTGGAAGTCACGTTGTGAGTGGTTGTGGTTGGAGAAGTCACGCTGTCAGTGATGGGAAGGACCTGACTCTCCTCATGGCCGACTGGCCCAAAAATGTGCCAATGTCGCTGGCTGTGGGTGCCATCGGCATGCCAGGGTAATACAAGTTTTAGATTCCCTGCTTTCGTCTCTGGTAGCCAGGATTATACTTTTCTGGACAGCACTACTTTAATAAACAAGGAGGTAAATGAGTCTCTTTGATAGATGTAGAAAGTTTTACTCCAAAAGAAAATCAAGATATAACAAGACTACCCAATTTTTAGCGTCAAAATATGTGTCCTTGACCTAAATCATATTTTTCTACCTAAAAATCAAAGCACATGCTGTTGGTTGAGGAATGCATGTTCTCAAAACAGTGGGAATTCTTTGTTAACTGTTTAATGATACATGTGAGCAAAAGTTGAGATCTGACTATTTAATTTTTGCATCGTTGATACTTAAATTTAGCAAAGGGTTTAGCTCTGAAAAGATATGAAATGGTTTCTCAGTTTCCTTTCAAATTAATAATTAATGCACTAAATTATTACGTTTGGGGGCTTGATCAAGGAGTACAAGATCAAGCTCATAACCTTAAGTTGTTGAAAGCAGCATCGTAACAGAGACGGTAAAACAGATATGTTTTGTAACAGGTAATTCTGCTTAAAAAAATAGAAATATATCTCAATTTCCATTTAGATTAGGTTGTTTAAGACAGAGCTTCCATAATTATGAAATTAGTCCAAATTTGAATAAATATTTTCCTTTCCTCCCTGTTTGCAGACTGACAGCTTTGTACGGGGTGGAAGCGGTTTTGCAAGCGCAAAAAGGTGAGACCCTGCTGGTGAACGCTGCGGCCGGGGCTGTGGGAACCGTGGTGGGACAGATCGCCAAGATCAAGGGCTGTAAGGTGGTGGGTTCAGCCGGGACGGACGCAAAGGTAGCTTACCTGAAGGAGCTGGGATTTGATGAAGCTTTCAACTACAAAACAGTTCCCTCCTTGGAGGAGGCTCTGAAGAAGGCGGCTCCTGAAGGATATGACTGCTTCTTTGAAAATGTAAGCTTGTCCAGCTCAAGATGTCTTTAAACTCCTCCTGTTAGTTATATATATACATTTATCTATTTTGTCTTTTTAGGTCGGAGGTCAATTTTCAACTATTGCGCTACAGCAGATGAAGGAGTTTGGTAGAGTTGCTGTGTGCGGAGGCATCTCCACCTATCATGATGCTGAATACCAGACAGGTCTGTTCTTCCACACTCTTTTCTTTTGAGGTATGCTGATGAACCTATCCATCCCACAATACCTTTAAAACTTGGATGCAACATGCTAGGTGTGGGGGAGAAGTAGTACTGCACATCACGGTAAACTCACCACCCCCTCAGTAAAGCATGGTGGTGGCAGGATCATGCTGAAGAAATACTTTTCTTCAACAAAAAGCAGGGAAGCTGGTCAGAGCAGTCTGGAAAATAAGTGCAGCAAAATATACAGCATTGACAAAAACAAAAAAAAAATTGTTAAGAAATGCAGCTTTTATTTTTCCAATGTTTCATTCTAAATTTACCTCAACAAAGATGTTGAATATCAGGGCATTTTCTGTGTCTATTAACTGTTTATATATTAACTGTCCACATTTGGCTATAATTAAAGGGCAGAAGGTAAGTGTTTTAGTTATTCCCCATCAGGTCTCACTGAGCTTGATGAAATCAGCTGAAAAAAAAATCATTCGAAATTAGTTTTAGGATAATTTATGCCCGGAAAGACCTGTACAGATACAGTAGAGTGATGCAATTTAAGTTTATTTTTGTTCTTATATATTTTTAAACCATAACTATTTCCATGTACCTAAAAATTTGATACTAGATTTGTGTCCAACAAAACATGTGAAAGTTTTCTTCTATTCAATTAAATGTGACAAAGTTAAAGCAGTATTGCACTATGTATTCTCTTATAAATGTGTACATATGTTTGAACACTAGAGGGCAGACTTGTCCTGCTGAAATTCAAATAAAGCAGAATAGCTTTTAAGAAGAGGTTGTTTCAGATTTATAATGTTGTATATATATATATTCCCCAGGTCCATACCCTCTAACCACCATAAACTGGAAGCAGGTTAAGATAGAAGGCTTCATGCAGAGCAGATGGCAGAATGACCATCCCCAAGGCCTCAAGAAACTAATGGGGTGGTATAAAGAGGTATTTAACCTTTTGTTGTGCAGGTTATCACTGATCAAATATTATGTCCTTCCTTCTGAGTTTAATTTGTGCATTGTGCCTTTAAAGGGGAAACTGAAGTGTCGGGAGCACGTCACCAAAGGCTTTGAAAACATGCCAACTGCTTTCATGGGGATGCTGCAGGGAGAAAACATCGGCAAGGCGATCATCACTGTCTGATGCCTCAACAAAGAGTCCCCTTACTCACAAACACTCCCTGAAGATAGAGCATTAATCGTTTTTTAAATTTGATACTTAAACTAGAATGATTATAAATATAAATTCATTAGTTATTAATAAAGATGAAGAAAAAATTATTCTGAGTGTTCTTTATCATCATCACTATAATCAGGTATTTTCTTATGGGCGGTGTCTCTAATGTTGCTGCATTGAAATGTTAATTAAGCACTATGTTTTTACCATAAACCTTTGTATTGATAATAAAAATAAAAAAATGTTTTCAGCAGTTTTGTTTAATGTGTTCAATTCCTTCTTCCAGTGCCTAAGCTGAGGTAACAAGCTGTCATAGACAGGAATATTAACATGAGCAGCCAAAGGCTTTTGTTGTCAACTGCTGCCTTTTGTTTGCTCAGAAAAAGGACTGCATGCTTGAATTTCATTAGTGATAATGCTGCTTGTCTTTATGTGTTGGTGTCACTATGGCATTGGCTCCTCAAACACTCTCTCTCTCTCTCTCTCTCTCTAGGGGCCTCAGATTCAGGCAGTTTGACGCCTAGGTTTGTTTAAACACACAGTTCCACTGCATTTCTACAGGTATACTACAGGAAGTCTGTACTGTAGTTTGTTTATGTATAAATACAAAGGAAATATGCTTTTGGATGCTTAAAAAATGATTTAATGACACCTTGAACTTTGGTTAAATGGTAACTTTTGTTTTCTAATTGTTTTGTGTTACATAAATCTAGCCTTTCTTGGGTTTTACTTAAATTAAACAGTAAAAAAAAAGTCTGTTTTCCTTTTCTTTTAAAACTCATTTTATTAAAGTTTTTTTTTTTTGCAAAGCAGAAACAACAGGGACAACAGAAAGCAAAGCCCTGAAAATGCACAAAAACACAGACATTCAAACCTGGCATAATAAACAACAATCACAAAACAAAGAAAAATAAATAAAATAAAACAAACATCAACAAAAAAACAATCAAGTAATCAGCAAGGAAAAGAAAATACATACCCAAGTTTGATAGCTTACCAGAGTGTAACTCTGCATCTTTTTCCCAGGACAGGTCCATAAGCCCTGACCTCATCATCCTGCTAGATGTCGATTTACATTTTTTCTACAGTTTGGCCCAGACCGCGAATAAGTCACGCTCCCCCAATAGAAATCCAATGAGAGACTTTCCAAAAATCACAGATGAATATCCAAAACGACCCATGTCAACCATTTGACGTACAAACATAAAATTATGTATACTACATCTTCAGACCCTTGTAGCACTCACATGGAAGGAATTTTTTTCAATATCACTTATGGTTTAGCTCTTTAACTGAGATGTTCGGGCATAGGAAAAAGTTGCTTTTATAAACATTTTCTGACTGAAATCTTTAAAAACTAACCACATTTTTACATCATCACCGTGGCCAAATGGTTTTTGCTAGAAACATAAAAGTTGGCATA